ATGATGTGGAGCTTTTCGCCTGCTGAACGATGATGGTCTCCACCAGCACCCGGAGGTTCCGGTGGATCGCCTGCTCCTTGGGTCGGCAAGCTCGGGGAGGCCCCGTAGAAGCATCGCCGCAGCGGCGATGTTCTGGCCAGCCCGAGCAAACTGAGGGGGTTTGTCCTCTCCGTCCAGGATGTTACGCTGGACCTGACGGGCACGACCTCGAGCGCCGCTCGCTGAGTTATGCGCATGTGGCACAACGTGATGTGCCGGGCGCGCCGGCGCAAGCGGCGGCTGGCTCTGCCGCCTTTGTCATAAGTCCTCGCCGTGCTCCTGCGCACGTGCTAGGGCCAGCGCATGGCGGTCTAGAGGGGTGTGAGTCTACAGAGACTCCACTACCTCTGGTGGTTGTCCCAGGGCGTCCGCCATAGCGCACTCCCAGGACAGAGGGTGGCCAGGTGCCATGACGTCACCGATGCTGGAGCCGTCGCTTTCGACCTCGTCATCGACGAGGTCATGGAAGGAGGCAGGAGCGTAGCCCGCCATCCCACAAACTCGTACGTGAGAGGGGGCGGCGTCGGCATCCTTTGGAGCCCCCGTGCGGATGCGTCCACGGGGGACGCGAAGCCGTAGGGGGACCGGTTGCACGGCGGCAGCGGTGGGGACAACGGGGTCCCTCCAGAGAGTTGGCGGAAGGTGTTAAACAGTGAGTAAAGAACAATATGTACATCAATCACCGTGGGGTTTTAGCCCAGCATGGGCTCAAAGCGAAGCGCGGGTGTCTCAATGTTGAGGTCATCACGTGGCTCGGGGCCGGTGGAGGGCGCTCCTCCTCCTGTGGGCGCCGGGACAAGCGCCTCCTCCTCGTGGAGGCGGAGTACGCCGAGCTGGTCGGCGACGAAGTCCAGACTCCCAAAGAGGAAGGTCTGGCGTGGCACGAAGACGGGAGGAACCCACATCCCAGCAAGTGGGAGCGTGGGAAACTCTAGTGAGCCGAAGCGAATTGTATCGCTCGAGCCCGCCATGCCAAAGATGGTGGAAAGGTGGGCCATCTAATGACCAAAAGCGTGAACGCACGGCATCTCTACCCACGGACGGCGCCAACTGTCGGTGCAAAATATGCCCAACAAGTAAATATTTATAGTTTTGCCATGCGTTGTGTTCGAATGTGGCCAAGCACACGACGACACATGATTTATACTGGTTCAGGCAACGTGCCCTACATCCAGTTTCAGTCGGACGGTGACTTTATTCCTGAGTCTAGGTGCTTGAAGTTTGTTGTGGGGTTAGAAATGAGTAAGGAATGAGAAGGGGGTGTTAGAGGACCGGTCGGACTCTGATCAAAGTGGATGAGAGTGACGGATGCTCTAACATGCGCTAAGTATTGGAGCGTATGCTCTATGTGTCCGAGCTTATCAGCTGTTGAGAGAGTGTAGACTGTGTAGCTGTCGAGCTCTAGAGTCGTCGAGTTGTCGAGCTGTTGAGCTATTTTTTTAGCCGTGGAGTTCACGAGTCCACTAGTCGCCCCCTTCAGTCCTCTAGTCGTTGGGAGAGAGTGCATCCTCTTTTATGGTTGAAGGGGATGGCCTTACAAGTCAGAGAGAAAAAGAGAGAGTGCATACGGACGCTGCCTAGTCTTGTTGCCCACGCCATCGGGTATGGGATGGCCACCGTCGCCCGCCATACTGTTTATGCTACCAGCGCCAACAATACTGTTTATGCTGCTAGTGCCCACAATAATGTTTATGCTCTGACGCGTCTGGCAGGATGTAGAGTGTTCGCCTGGTACGGCAAACGCTAGCGCCCACAATACTGTTTATGCTCTGACGCATCTGGCAGGCTGTAGAGTGTTTGCTTGGCATGGCCCGACGACACTGTCCTGCAGGTGCGCAAGGCATGGCAGGGTACGGTCCTCGGTATTGCGGTTGACTTGAGCGCCTTACCTTATCTGCTCCGCCTGCTCCCCGGGTCCACACCGAGCGGGCGTCCTTGGTCGGTCGTTTCCAGTCGGCCCCGACCGTGTCGGTCGGTAAAGAGCAGCGAGCAAAGGTTCGGCATATCCTCGGTCGGAGGAACGGTATCAGAGTCGGACTGCGGTCCTATCTCGGCCAGGCCTTCCGGTCGGGGCTCCGACCAGGTCTCCTGGCCAGAGATGCTGGTCGGGGATCGCATCGTGGTCTTGGCCTGTCATCGTGTATCTGGGCCGGTCCAGACGCGCGTTGTCGCTGCGCCGCATGCTGGGCCAAGTATTGCAGGGAAACGGGTCCATTAAGGATCCCGGGTTTATAAACCCGACACAACAACTTTTAGAGACTGGTATGCAAGTGTGGTTGGTAATGTGGCTTGCCTCTAGGAAAATTATTGTACTGCCTCTATTTCAAATTCTAAGTTATTTTAATTTTTCTAGATACATAACATTTTTGCTATGTAACTAGATATAGGTTATGCTTAGAAACATAGCAAAAGTTGTGTATTTAAAAACGATAAAACGACTTATAATTTGGAGTGGAGGGAGTAGAAATTTAAAATGGATAGTGAAAAATAACCACAAAATTCGTTTAATCCTAAGAGAAGTTCATTAACTAAGCACCATGGTTGTAGATCAATCACCATTCATGCGATTTTACTGTAACTTTTGGTCACAAATGAAAACAATTGTGGTCACAATATAGCCGACAACATAACAACAAAGCACCATGTAACAAACAGGCCAGCAGCTCAACGGCGTCAATATTTGTTCTACAATTTGTTTGAGGAAGGCTTGAAGAGTTGATGGATGATGGTGTGATGACCGGCGTCTAGCAGCTGCTTGAGACAAACAGTGCCTCCAGCAAACATGAGGAACTATGGATCCAGAAGAGAAGGCACAAAATGATCCAAAATTTAAATTTACAAAGAGAGCCAAGAATTTGAATAATTTGTGAGAAATTTAGATTTTTTTTTACCAAGTTATGGAGGTAGCTGACCAAGAGAAAACTAAGAGCGTGTTTGGTTCGCGGCCACAACTCACCGCACAGCACCGCAGTTTTGGCGGCTGTTTGGTTGGGTGCCGCACTTACGACGTGCCGCTGAGTGACCACACGCTGGTAGTTCATTTTTCACACCACACCCTGCCAAAAAGCGACGAGCAAAACAGCCGCCGTAGTCTTGGCGCCACCCTGCTATGGCTCGACGGCTCAGGCGAAGGCCAAACAGGCCCAAAAGTTGTCTTCTAACTTAGTTTTTTTTTGTTTTAGAGAATGGAGTGTGTCGATCAATCACCATTTGGAGTGTGTCGATCAATCACCATTTCATTCTTGACAGAGTAAATGAGATTATATTCTGCTAAATTTTAGGGTTAACGGACTATAGTATGATATATTACTATTTATCTTATCTAGAATTGGTTGATTCGGGTGTGTTTGATTGGTTGGATATACATGGATGGGAGATGGCCATCCATGGATGAATATTGTTTGGTTTGGTGTATTGGCTGGACATGGATATCCACGACAAATAATATTCCTGCCAGATGTTGGATATGGTGGCCACAAAAAAAAACTAGCGGATAAGCTTATCCATGTTCTCTGGTCATTGTCATTAGCAAATAAATTAAGGATTATTATTATGTTATATTATTAATTAGTAATTATAATGACAAAGTTAGTTTAGATAAGTGCTAATATATTGATTAGCACATATTTTATATGATAATTATGGTGGTAGTAGTGCTAATTAGCATATTTTATTTTAAATTAATGATTATAAAGACAAAATTAGTGTCCGTGTATATTTATTAGTGCATAATAAGTTGTTATCATTTTTCAATAATAAACATAATTAGTCAACTATCCTCATTTTATCCACTCTCATCCATCCAACCAAATAGACAACGTAGATAGCCATATCCCGATATCCATAGATATCCATATCCCATCCACATTAATCCTACACGTTACTATATATAAACCTACCACACCATCGCGCCGAGTTGGACTTCGTTTTGTTTGACATTTGCACGCGGATAGTGGCGATCCACCATTGTTGGAGAATGGAGACGCGGTCAGATATGACGGCATGGATGTGCGGCTCCCGTGCCCTCGCCAGCTGAGTCCAACGCGGCAGCCATAGCACGCCGCGCGGAGCAGCTCGCCGTTTGCCTTTCAACTCGTCATCCACGTCGCAGCACTACCCCCTGCCTCCCGCAAAGGCGCAAACCCACAGAGACCTCAGACTTGCGCGGACTCAGGATGCCAACGGCTCCAAACGACGATCATAGTCGTCGTCTTCCAGCCCAACCACCGACACTATGGAGTGCAGTTTTCGTGGTGCACCGTCGTCAGCTTCCAACGATGCGGCTAGTGATCGCAGAGAAGGGTTCAGAACAGCAGAAACCACATGACCTGGACCTGTGCTCTGTCTGTCATCTTCATGCATGCGTCTAGATCTTAGTCAGACACCCACCCAACCTTATGTCTTGTATGCGTGTGTATGCACTTTAATCCACTTGTTCCATTTCAATCTACTTCAACACATGTGGATTGAAACGAATACATGCGCATCCAACCAGGCCTTAGCGGATCCGTCGTCCATGCCGTTCCATAGAGCTTCATCACACGTATTCTGGCTAGGCGAGGCTATGTATGCATTAAGCACTATGCACACAAGCAGGTCCCAGTCTCACGCGGCAATGTAATGATTTCCCCTTGAAACATTTCCTCTGCATACAAGAAATATGCATCCTCTCCGTCAATCAATACCCTTTAGGCATGGTTCGGTTAACCGTTCCCGGCTCTTCCATGCCATGATTGATTCCAGCCCAGCGTAAATTATTGAATAGTTGCCGGCCAGGAACAATTCCATGCCATTCCGGGGTCCAAACGAACGGGCCCTTAAAAAGAAAGAGAGAGAAACGCTGCGAGCATGTAAATATGTAATGCATCGGCCACTTAAGTTCCATCTGATCTCCTCGGTGCTCAGTCGTGAATCGTGATGCATAATAATCTTCAGTCTTCACCATCACTCCATCAAGAACGATGCACACCCTCCTTGTCCTCCTTAACACATCCTATAAATACAGAACACTTCCAAGTAGTAGCATCCAACCCTCGTACCGCTTCTCCCTAACCACCTCCGATCCTACGAGAAGCTGCTTGCTCGGAGCTACCAACGACAATGTCGCCGCAGAGGCTCTCGGTCCTCCTCGTGCTCCTGTCCAGCCTCTTGGCCCCTTCCACTGCCGTGCGCAGCTCGACGCTGTTCCTGGCGCGCTCTCCTCACTCCGTGTCTCCCAGCGTCGGGGCACCGGTCGCCCACGCTCGCCGCGCAGTCAGCGTCCGACGCAGCTCGCGCGGCCACGCTCGCGTCTGGGGACCCGGCCGGGGCCGCTGGTCAGTGACGCAGCCAAGAAAGGGCCACGCCACTCGTTCGTGCCGATCGCGCCGGGCCTGCAGCTCCTCAGCATCCCCAGCTACGTCGCCCGCGCGCGGCTCAGCACGCCGGCCCAGCCGCTCCTCGTCGCCATCGACCCCAGCAACGACGCCGCGTGGGTGCCGTGCACCGCCTGCGCGGGCTGCGCCCCGGCCCCGGCGCCGTCGTTCGACCCGACGCGGTCCTCCACGTACCGCCCCGTGCGCTGCGGCGCGCCGCAGTGCTCGCAGGTTCCCAGCCCGTCGTGCCCCAGGGGTGCGTGCGCGTTCAACATGTCGTACGCGGCGTCCACGTTCCAGGCGCTGCTCGGGCAGGACGCGCTCGCGCTCGACGTTGTCGTGGCGGCCTACACGTTCGGGTGCCTCCACGTCGTCACGGGCAACCCGGTTCCGCCGCAGGGGCTCATCGGCTTCGGCCGCGGGCCGCTCTCGTTCATGTCGCAGACAAAGGACGTGTACGGCTCCGTCTTCTCCTACTGCCTGCCGAGCTACAAGTCCTCCAACTTCTCCGGCACGCTCAGGCTCGGTCCCGCTGGGCAACCGAAGCGGATCAAGACGACGCCGTTGCTGTCCAACCCGCACCGCCCTTCGCTCTACTACGTCAACAAGGTCGGGATCCGCGTCGGCAGCAAGCCCGTGCCGGTCCCGGCGTCGGCTCTCGCGTTCGACCCGGCCAGCGGCCGCGGCACCATCGTCGACGCTGGGACGATGTTCACGCGGCTGTCCGCGCCTGTGTACGCCGCCGTGCGCGACGCGTTCCGCCGCCGGTGGCCGCCGGTGGCCGACCCGCTCGGCGGCTTCGACACGTGCTACAACGTGACCGTCTCCGTGGCGACCGTCACGTTCGTGTTCGACGGGCAGGTGTCGGTGACGCTGCCCGAGGAGAACGTGGTGATCCGCAGCTCGTCGGGCGGCATCACTTGCCTGGCGATGGCGGCGGGGCCGCCGGACGGCATCGACGCGGCGCTCAATGTGCTGGCCAGCATGCAGCAGCAGAACCACCGCGTGCTGTTCGACGTCGCCAATGGCCGCGTCGGTTTCTCACGCGTTCGGCTGGCTGGCTGGCTGAAATCAATAGAACCTAAATGAATCTATTGTGTACACAAGTGTTCAAATTCCAGTGGCGCTGCGGCGCTGCCACAGCGTGACTTCTAGCATGCATCCCTCGTTCATTGCTATCAGCGTTTGGAACGGGGGTTTAATCACAGGCCCTTGTTTAATCGTCTGCTCAAGAACGTGTGACTTAAGAATTTTAGTGTTCACTTTTATCATCGGTAATGGTACAAACACGACGTCCGACGACTCTTTCCACACGGGCGCGTGGTGTGACGTGCACCACAACTTTGCCTTTTTTATTCCATATCATTTCCATGTCTCTTATTCTCATCCACTCATCGCTTTCTTATCTGCTTCCACTGCGTTAATGTTCTTCTCTATGCTCTATTTCCCTTTCTCTACATTGCTTTGTTTCCACGAGTGACGCAACCAGATCCTTAGGCCTAGTTGTTCGTGAAGACGAGGAGGTACCTAGAGGTGGCTCGCATAAGCCTAGAGATGTCCCTTGCGGTGGAAGGTGTATCTGGCTAAAACGCCACCACCAGCGCGCCGCCCACCGACCGTCGCTGTGTGCTGCCCCACACCGCCCCTTGTGCTACGCTACCCAACACGTTGCGTTGCAGCGAAGCTCAAGCGCCGATGAGTCCACCCACCGATGACCTCCACGCGCCCACCACCCACCCTTTGCGCTCACCATGCACTCATGCTGCCCCCACACCCGCTCTCTGTGCGCGCCGCCTAGCTCCGTGTTGTCGGCGAGCACACACGTGACCTCCACGCGCCGACGAGCCTCCATTTGTGAAGCGACATGGAGATGTTTGCCCTGAAAGAGCATGTTGCAAACGTATGTTTCGAGTGTTTCAGATGTTTCAAAAGTGTGTTGCAAGTATTTTATACCGATGTTGCAAAAGTAGATCGGGATGCATATGTTGCAATGGTTGCACACATATGTTGCAAATGTCTGTTACCAATCTTTCGTCTGTGTTTTCGGACGTATGTTGTAAATGCGTTTATCTGGATGTTGCATAGGTTTCACACATATGTTGCATGTGGTTTATTTGTATGTTGCGTATGTTTGCAAATGTTTTCAAGTGTTTTCCGGTGTTTTTTCAAGTGTTTTAGAAGGATGTTGCAAGTGTGTGTTTCTATGTTTCAATTGTTTTTAGACATATGTTGCAAGTATTTTATCCGAATGTTGCATATGTTGCAATGGCTACACATATGTTGCAAGCATATGTTTCAAATGTTTCGTATGTTTTAGGCGTATGTTGCAGCAAGTTCTCCATGTTGCAAGTGTTTCATGAGGCGCAGGCAGTCCCCATGGGGTGGGCGGCCTTGAGGCGTGTGTAGTAGGCGGGTAGATTTGAGGCCTGCTGAAGACGGCGTGATGAAGCAAAGCAAAGCGCAGAGAGAGAGCCAGAGCAGGGCATGGGAAAGCAATAGTAGGGCGAGCTGGCGCGACGAACAACAGCACGGTAGGCATGCATGCTATGATGCGCGTCCGTGAGTGGGGGCAACCGAAGGGAGCGCGTGGGCCACACGGGCGAGCACGCATTGGGCTGAAGCGGCGGGCGCGATGCGGTGTTCGGACACGCGCTTATGTCCGGACATGCTGGCGCTAGTTAGCCCCTTTTATCATTTATACAATTATAGTTCATGTTAACTTTGTTTCAATTTTTTCTAATTCTAATCTAGAAAAACACACCAAGATCTATAAATTTGAATGCACTACAAAAAATATTTCAACAAAATAATTAAATGGTATAGATGTTAGTGCCTTTTCACTAGAAAGTTTTTTTTTCAAAATTAGACAAGTTTGGCTTATAATAAAAATAGAGTGGACTGTAATATAGAATGGACGTAGTACTCGTATAACTACTGAAATTCAACAGGCAAGGCTCAATCACAGGACAATGACATAGCCTATATCGAATAAGAGTTATCCAATAAGAGTTTGGGGGTGTGCATATACTTGTTGTTGACTTATGTATTGCTAAATTTTGTGAATTAATATATACTTTTAATTGACGAAACAGCCAAAATAGTACAAAATTAGAATATTCAATTCAATCCGACTGAGTGTATAAGTATATGAATAAATTTTGCGCATAGAAATGGCATGTACTCCTAGTTTTTTTTTTATCAAACATAATCTCAATTATGGTTTTATCAGCGGGATACCTTCAGTGCTCCTTTGAATGCGGGATTTTTTTCCATTCCTATGTTTTTCTTATGAAAAATGAACTGATTACTAAGAAATTTCTGTTGAATTTTCGTGAAATTCATGCGTTTCAAAAGGACCCTCAGTGTGTAAATCTTGGGCTGCAGCTCGGTTAAATCCATGGGCTTTAAGACGTCCTAGGCCTAAGACTTCTAGCTGGGCCTGGGGCAGGGATACTACCGCTGCCTTGGTATTGATTCTGCAGACCAGGCCTGCCTTGGTTTAAATCCCTGGGCCTTGTGGAAAGAGTAACAAAATAAAATCGACTTTTTTTTAACGCCAAAGTCTACGGAGCTCCTGCGATTGCTTAATGTTGGTATCGACAGTTTTGGACAAGGAGTAGATCATCAGCCTGCGCACGAGCCTATGGAGCACCTGTAGTTTCCTGGTAGTTTCCTAAGCTGGAGTTATTTCTTTGATGTAATGTAGACTTTGTAATTCTTCATTTGCTCCCCTCTTACACGATACTACGATGTATATACAGCAATGCTCCTGCTTGTGTTTTTTCATTGAAAATAAATGTTCCTCGAACCTTGAAGAATTAAACGGAATGCCCGTCTATCTCAGTATCTTCTTTTCCAGCAAGGTCTAGTTTTTTTTTTTTTTTTTTGAGAAAATCCAGCAAGGTCTAGCTGCGTCGATAGAGCGCGAGGCGGTGGCCATGGACCGGTTTCCTTTCTTATTTCCCAGCCCGGCCCATACAAGAAACAGATCCAGGCAGGCCTCCAAACAGCCCATATCAAAACCGCCAGCCCCGGAAAGGTGGGACATAGTATGGGCTTTACAGATTCATGTTTTCTAATACACCACCGCCTGCTCGTACACTATACCAGCCTGTCTGTGTGTCCGCTTAAACTCTGGGCAGCCAGAGCCAGAGGCAGAGGCAGAGGCAGTCCGTCAGGCGTCAGTGAGACTAGCAAGGTCCACGCCGGCGGTCACGTGACGGGGGACAGGCACTGAGGCAGGTTATCGTGGCGCAGAAATGGAGTCCGTACAGTACGGTGGGGGACTAGCGAGGCGCAGGACGGCAGAAAAGGGAGCCGGACGCCGGAGCGCGGGAAGCGGAAGCAGAAGCAGTAAAGAGAAGGAAGCGGATAGGACAGGCCCAGCGCTGCGCTCCCCTAGGCGGTCTCATGTGCCTCGGCGTGCACTAGGCCGACGAGCCACGAGGCCCATTCGGCCGAGTGCAGGACCAGCAGCGGGCCGCTCGGCTGCATTCCACAGGCCTGGCCCGCTGACACCCCCCTGAGCGGCTGAGCCTGCGGCCGTGAACCGATCCACATCCACCACGGACTGTCCACCGTTCACGCGGGCGCGGCTCCGGCGCCTCGTCACGCGCGCGTGCCAAGGCACCAGTGCGTGAGCGAGGCAACGGTTGACTCGAGGGCGATGGCCACACGAGACGAGGGGTCAGCGGGGCTTCGAAACGGGCGTTGCCGCGTCGGCGTCGTTCGTCGTCCACTGAAGCCTGCGCCTGCCCGGATGGAACAAGTTTACTCCTCCGTCCGTCCAGGAAAAACGTAATTTAGCACACTATCATGGTCTAGTATTTTAAATTTAATCAATTATAAATAAAAAATGTATAAATATTTATGATATTATATAAGTTTCATTGGATAGATTCGTTTTTTACTCCCTCCGTTCTCTAAATATATTTTTATTGTCTTAATAAAATTTTTTAAAGTTCTTTTGTAAAAGTGATATAGTAGATTCATCTCGAAATTGGTTAAACGTGATGACCAAAGCGCCGTCCCAACAAACTTCACCAAGGCTATGTTTAGTTCATGAAATTTGGGAATTTTGTTATCAGAAATTTTTCGCTTTTATGTGCAGCATTAGTGTTCAAACATAGACTAATTTTTGGCTCAAAACATCTTAGATACTTCAATGTATAAAAAAAATTTGTCTAATTTAAGTATGTTCAATAAAAAATTCGATATATACTGAAAACTTTTTGAGATTTTGGGGTGAAACTGAACACGCGCTTATATAAGTTTCATTGAATTAATTAAGAAATGTATTTTTATAATAAATTATTTTAGAACAGTAAATGTGGATAATATTCATAAAAATTAGTCAAACATGAACTACTTTATGAACGCGCGTATCGAGATGGAGACGGACGTTCCAGCACCCGGCGAGAGACGCGGGTCTTCACGTGAGTGAGACGGCACGCAAGTGGGGTGTGGGGGGCACGCGGCTCCGGCGCGGGCGGCGGACGTGTCGGCGTTCGGGGAGGCGACGAGGGGGCTGCGGCTGGCCAGTGGGCACGGCACGGCACGGCACGGCAGGACAGCTTTCATTAAATAAACGGCGTCGGGGCTCGGGGCGTGGCCTGCCTCTGCCGCCTGTGTGCCTGCGGCTGTGGGCACTGCCCGTGCCAGGGTTTAGTTATTGTGGTCGTTGTCCGGCTGCGGCGTGGGTGGCTGTCCGCCTGTCCCCAATGGCAGAAAGCCAGCGGCCCGTAGCCTAGAGAGGCCCCCCCTCTTTCCACTTCCGCTTCGCTTCGCCTGGCCCTGGCCTGCCCGCGCGGGGCTCGACGTGCTGCTCCTCGGAAACCACGGCTTCCAAAGACACGCGAGAGACGCGCCTGCGGCCTGCCGTGGCGCCGCTCCGCTTCTCCCGTCCCTGTGCCGCGCAGGGCACGGGCGCCGCGGCTGCGTGCCACGCGCGCGCACATGAACCACGCTGCCGTGCCCGGTTGGCCCTGCTGCACTGCACGCCTCCCCCGTCGCCGTCTGGCCTCTGGACGCGCCGAAAGTTTCTTTCTTTCCTCGTGCCTGGGTTGGGCCCCCAAGCGTGCTTCTGCTCC